TTTATTTGACAGAGAGAGACAGTGAGAGAGGGAACACAAGCAGGGGGAGTGGGAGAGGGAGAAGCAGGCTTCCCGCTGAGCAGGGAGCCCGATGTAGGACTCAATCCCAGGACTCTGGGATCATGACCTGAGCCGAAGGCAGACGCTTAACAACTGAGCCACCTAGGTGCCCTTTTGCCTATTTTTATAAATGGAAAATAGAAGGTATAACATAAATATCTTTCAGTCCTAATGAAAGATTGCTTTGTTTTTTTCCCTTCAGTTTCCTCCTGCTTACACAGGTATATCTGAGGTGAATCAGCCTGCTGAATTAATGCCCCAGTTTTCTACAATTGAGTACGTGATACAGGTAACTTCTTTGTTGTGCATTTAGTGAGCAGTGTTAAATATTGAGTTTCTCTTGAAATACTTTGTCTTTGTCTTCAGTGTCCCATCCCTTCCTGGGCAATTTAAAGCTGTAAAGGCAGCAGGATCCTGAAGACTTGGTCCTGGTGCGTGTGCACTTGCTGGCATTATTTGCAGTCTTGATAGGCGGCTAGAAAAGGGATCACTGGTTGAGTTCAGCATCTGTCCCCCACAGCCTTCTCCAGCTTTGTGATGGTACTCCATCTTGTAGTCAAGCTTAAAAACCTTAGGTTCATCCTTGACTTCTCTTTCTCATGCATTCCGTATCCAGTCCACTAGGAAATTCCATTGGGTCTATATTCAGAATCTATCCACAGTCCAACCACTTCTTTCCCCCCACTGCTTTTTCCTGGGTCAGCCAGCGCCACTCACTTAAATTACTGGGCCATCTCTTAACCCTTCTCCGTAATTTAACATTTTCCCACTTATATTTTATCCTTAACCCAGAAGCCAGAGTAACTCTTTAAAAACATGTCATGTTACTTCTGTGTTCAGAAACCTGCAATGGTGAAAATGGCTCTCTTTCACCCAGAGTAAGAGATAGTCTTCAAAGCTCTGTGTGGACCGGCCCTATGTTATCACTTGGACCTCAACTTGTATTAGTGTTTCGTTCAGCCACATGGGCCTCATGACTTTCCTTGGGCATGCCAGGAATGCTCTTGCCTGTGGGCCTTTCCTCTGGCTCTTCCTCAGGCTGGAATTCTCTTTCCCCTATGACTGTATTGCTCCCTCCCTCTCCTCTGGGTTTTTGCTTTAATATTACTTTCTTAATGAGGCTGCCCTGATCTCTTAAGTAATACTGGAACCTGCCCCCTACCTCTACTCCTGGCATCTCCTTATCCTCTCCATTCCAGAAAGTCAGCAACTTGAGGCAGGCAGGTATCTTTGTTCTTTTGGCTCACTGATGTATCTTAGGACCTGGAACAGTGACTGGCACATGGAAGGCATTCAAAAATGTAGAATAAATTGTTGGATACAAACAGTTTTTACATTTAATTTGTTTTAATGTAACCTGTCATTTAATGAGGTGAGTAGAAGTTAGATGTCCTTATTCCCTGTCAGTAACTACAGATGAAGACTTGTTATTTACATACCTGATTTACTTTTAAAAGAGCTGGTTTGGTCTATTTCTATACTGATCATCATGCTGTATTTCTTTGCTTAAAGCGAGGTGCTCAGTCCCCTCTGATCTTCCTCTATGTGGTTGACACGTGCCTAGAAGAAGATGACCTTCAAGCACTCAAAGAATCCCTGCAAATGTCCCTGAGTCTCCTTCCTCCAGATGCTCTGGTGGGTTTGATCACATTTGGGAGGATGGTGCAGGTTCACGAACTCAGCTGTGAAGGAATTTCCAAAAGTTATGTCTTCCGAGGGACAAAGGATTTAACCGCAAAGCAAATACAGGTTTGTGCTTTGCTCGTACCTAAGCAGGAGCAAGGAGATTTCTTAAACATGAGTTGGTCATTCACTCTAGTGTTATGGGAAATGAGTCTTTTTGGGTTTTTTAGGATATGCTGGGCCTCACCAAGCCTGCCATGCCCATGCAGCAAGCAAGACCTGGTCAACCACAGGAGCAGCCTTTTGTTTCAGGCAGGTGAGCTACCAACATAGAATGTTGCACACACAGTAGTGGGCATGCGGGCCAACCCACTGGAGTGAGGGAAGAAAAATGTTAGAACTTTTATTTTATTTTTAGAGAAAAAAAGAAATGATTAAGCCTAAGAACGTTTAACGTTTCATGATCTATGTAACAATTTGGTATATATTTGAAGCTCATAACTAAGTTGCGGATGTACACATACATATGTATGCACACATTTGTGTGGTTAGATTTGCTCAGAATGTCTTTCCTGTTAGTCAACAAATGTTTTGAGACCACCGTATTCAAGCCTTCACCTCCTCTTACATATGGCTGTTGTCCTTTTTGAGTCTGAAGTAAAACTAGGAAAACTGAAAGCTTCTGTGGGATGTTCTTAAGCAAACCTGAGACCAGGCACTTCCTTTCCTCAGCCTTTTGAGTGCCTGCAGCTGCCTGTGGCCAGGTTAACAGTCAGCAAACATGACAAAATGCATTGCCTGACATGCTGGGGACAGCCACTTACTGTGGTAAGAAACCAGTGCTTCTCTCTGTATTTACTCCTAGGCACACAAGAAACACTTGAGAATCACTTTGAAGTGGATCTTTAGAATGATGAAGGTGGGGGTGCTTGGGTGGCACAGTTGTTTCAGCATCTGACTCTTGATTTCAGCTCAGGTCATGATCTTAGGGTCGTGAGATTGAGCCCCAAGTTGGGCCCCATGCTCAGTGAGGAGTGTGCTGGATATTTCTCTCTCTCCCCCCGCCAACTCCCTCCCTCCCCCTCTCCTTCTGCCCCTCCCTCCTGCTTTCTCTTCCTCTCTCTCTCCAAAATAAATACATCTTAAAAAAAAAAAAAGAATGATGAAGGTGGTCCACGTACAGGAACTTTACATGGATTGAATTCACGTTAGACCTGTCTTTAGGATTTCTCTGCTGCTTAAATTTAATTAAACTGATTTGTTCCTATTTAAATTCAGCTTTTTTTCCGTGCTATCTACATAAATTGCCATATGTTCATTTTTAAATTATATTCTTGAATAAAATTGCTTTGAAGAAAAAATTCCAAGTTTTTACTAGTCTGAGTAATTATTTTGAAGAGCTATAACTGTGTTACCTAGGGCTAAAGACCAGAGTACTTTATTAAACCAGGATTGATGTGTCCATTGAAAATCATGCAGATTTCTGCAGCCCATTCACAAGATTGACATGAACCTCACTGATCTCCTTGGGGAGCTGCAGAGGGACCCATGGCCCGTGACTCAGGGGAAGAGACCTTTGCGATCCACTGGTGTTGCTTTGTCCATTGCTGTTGGCCTGTTGGAGGTAACTCACAACTTACCGGGGTGCCTCAAACCATGGAAGTTTGTTCCCACAAGTTGTATTTGCTAGTCTTGTTTGAAAATGAGTTGTGACCTAAATCAACTGACTGTGTTAATTTATCATAAAGCACTTCAGTTATTATTATTATCCACAATGAAGGAGCCCCATAATGTTTTGAAAATACCAGAAGTTTTCATGAGAAACACAAGGCCATTAGGGCAATGGCGAGTGCTCACAGTGAATTAATAAAGTCTGAAGCCACCAGGTTGGAAGAACTAAGGCTGCTTCTCTGCATTGTCATCTGTGTTATTTCTTACTATCATCAGTATTCAGCAAGCTGAAGAGAACTGTATGGAATTTTTTTTAGGGAAACGGAAGCATACTCAGGGTGGGCTGTATGTTTCTAAAATGCTGCCATTTACTGTTCTAGGGTACTTTTCCAAACACGGGAGCCAGGATTATGTTGTTTACCGGGGGTCCCCCCACCCAAGGGCCTGGCATGGTGGTCGGAGATGAATTAAAGGTTCCTATTCGTTCCTGGCATGATATTGAGAAAGATAATGCACGTTTCATGAAAAAGGCAACCAAGGTAGGTGCTCCTGGACACAGGCTGTAATTCTGGTTACCTAGTGCTGGGTTTGGGCTGCTCTGGAGTGACAGCTACCTTGCTGAGGCCATGCTTTGTGGTCAGCAAATTGTTCTTGCTCAGGTGACCTTCCAGATCCCAGCTGCTGTTAAATTGGTGCCCCAGCTCTGAGTTCTTACTTAGAGTGGGTGGGCTTAAAACTGCTAAAAGTGTTTTGAGCAAGTTTATTGGGTGTTATAAAGAAAACTCTCCATATTCTTTTTTTTAAATTTTTTTTATTGTTAGGTTAATCACCATACATTACATCATTAGTTTTTGATGTAGTGTTCCATGATTCATTGTTTGTGCATAACACCCAGTGCTCCATGCAGAACGTGCCCTCTTTAATACCCATCACCAGGCTAACCCATCCTCCCACCCCCCCCCAGAACCCTCAGTTTGTTTCTCAGAGTCCATCGTCTCTCATGGTTTGTCTCCCCTTCCGATTTCCCCCCTTCATTTTTCCCCTCCTGCTATCTTCTTCTTTTTTTTCTTAACATATATTGCATTATTTGTTTCAGAGGTACTGATCTGTGATTCAACAGTCTTGCACAATTCACAGTGCTCACCATAGCACATACCTTCCCCAGTGTCTATCACCCAGCCACCCCATCCCTCCCACCCCACCCCCCACTCCAGCAACCCTCAGTTTGTTTCCTGTATCTCCATATTCTTATGTTTGGTTACATCCCTTTGGTATAGTGAGACATACCTCGTGAATAATATTGTTTCCCAAAGGTAATTTTTCTCCATTCACAGCACTATGAAATGCTTGCTAACCGAACTGCTACAAATGGTCACTGCATTGATATTTACGCTTGTGCCCTTGATCAGACTGGACTTCTGGAGATGAAGTGTTGTGCAAATCTTACCGGGTATGTTGATAGCAAACACCTGGGAAAATGGAGCATGTGTATTTTAAGGAAAGAGAAGTGAGTGATGGAAGCATAGGAATGTGCAAGGCTGATTTAGATAAGTTTTCAGAAGGCTCCAGGCTGTCGTGTCTGTAGCAGGGAGGGTATATGGGCCTCTTGGAGAAAGAAGCAGTGATTAGCAGGAGGTTGCAAGGTTCAATTTGAATGAATCATATCAGAGTAACTCTACTTCTTCCTTAGAGTTGTCACAGAATCTATAACAGGGCAAGAAAGTGAGCACGTGTGGAGTATGTGGACTTCAGCAAGCCACTTCCTTGTGAGGAAGCGGGGCATAGGGTCTGAATGCCAGAGCAATTAGGAGACCCGTCACCTGACTTAGTAACCATAAGTCTTGCCCAACTTGGAGCACGTGCTCAGCGTGGAGGGTGCGCGGCAGGGTGTGCTTAGTGCCTAAGTCCGCGTCACGCAGACAGGCCACAGCAGAGACCTGTAGTTCTCAAAGCACAGTGGGGCCTCGCCAGCAACCTTCAGGGTTCCCGGGGATGGATGAGAAGTGTACTTCCTTGGGCCTCGCCCCAGACTTGCTGAATCAGACTCTGAGGATGCAGCCCAATAGTCAGCTTTCCCACTCTGTCCAGGGCATTCTGGTACACGTGAGTGTGAGAACTGGTGTGCACCACTGGTCTGAAGGAGGCTGCACACCAGACTCTCCCCGGGAGCTTTATTGTTTATTTATTTTTTTACTTATATTTTTAAAATTTTTTGTTTGTTTGCTTGTTTATTTTAAGTAGGCTCCATGCTCAGTGTGGAGCCCTGCTGGGGAGCTGTAAAAGCTACTTTTGCTCTGAGTCTTGTCCCTCAGTGATTCTCACGTAGTTAGCATAGGGTGTGACCCAGCGTCAACATTTGTTATCCTTCCCTGGGTGTTTCTAACGTGAAGCGGAGTTTGAGAACCACTGGGGTGGACCTTTAGTGTCCAAAGTGTGGTTGAACGCAGGCAGCATCAGCCTCGCATGAGAGCTTGTAAGGAATGTAGCATCTTGAGCCGTACCCTAGACCTTTTGTGTCAAAACCTGCATTTGAATAAGATGCCAGGTGACTTGCACAGAACAGTTTGAGAAGTACTGGCATAGAGCTGTGGGGTGTTCCTGAGATTCCTAAGATGTTCCTGAGATGCATTTCTAACAAGCTTCCGGGTGACACTGCTGGTCCTTACTGAGTAACAAAGGGCATGTGGTAGGTAGTCACTTGAACCAGTCCCAGAGAGCAGCAGATGTGTTAGGTGCCCGAGGCCCAAATGACACTGACAGAGCTATACCAGTGAGCCACATTTAATAAGATGATTTCCTGCCAGTATCCTCCAGGAGCCCTTGTCTTAGAGCATCCAGGGAAAAGCCTCACTGTGTTTGTGAACATCCCCGAGTTTATATGCCAGAGTGTGTGTGTGTGTGTGCGTGCACGCGCACACGCGCATCTCTCCTGTGGAAAGGGACCATCACTTCTATCAGGTTCTCAGGGAGGTCTCTGACTCCAGAATAACTTGGTATTTAGGTCACATAATCTGTTGCACTAGTATGGTGTCGGGGAAATGTATTAGCAATGACATTAAAAAGTCTCAGAGGTTTTAAGTTGTGGCTCAATGTTGGGATGACTTCCAGAAAAGACAAGGTGATTGTAGGCTGTGTTACAGGAATTGATTATCTTCAGAGAAGATCATAGTCTTGGTTTCCTTGGTGCCAGGCACACCCAGATTATATCATCTTCCATTCTGAGCATTTCAGTTTCAAAGAGATATGTAGAGGAACGGGGGGTGTTCAAAGGCAAGTGGTAAGAGTGGTGGAGAGTATTTGAAACTGTGTCATAAGGAGAATGATTGAAGGATCTAGAAAAGATACCACTGAAGACAGATGGGGCGTGAGATCTATATTCAACAATCAAAGGCCTCTCTTGTGGAGAGGGCATCAGATTTGTTTGTTGCGTGTATGACCAAAGGGGAGCTGCTGGGAAATAGAATTTCACCCAGTATGAAGAAAAACCTATTAACCCTCAGCACTGTCCATGCCTGGAATGGACTGCCTCTGGAGGGCATGCGTTCCTGATACAGGAGGAGTTCAAATCTAATCTGGGTGATAACCTGGCATGGTATGTTGTAGAGGGTTGGTGTGAGTCAGGATTAGGTTTGTGTGAGTGCAACAGAGGTAGGCAGCCAGGGCTGGGATATTGGTTTCATCTTCATTGGGACTGAGGCCCTTCCTATGCTGCTCCACCACCTTTGTGTTTTACCTGCAGTTCAAGATGGTAACTGGGCTCTCGCTGTGTTTGAGCAGCAGGAAGGAGGAAGAGTCAAAGACAAGCACCTTCCCATGAGAATGCCCCCCACAAATCACAAAGGCCATTTCCAACAAACAAAGCTGAGCTATATGGCTACGTGCAAGGCAGGCTGGGAGATGTAGCCTTTTTTTTCCGGGGAACCATGGAACCCAGGAGTAAGGAAGGGGCAGAAAGGGTGGACATTTAGGGCCAAAGAGTCATCTCTGTCCCTGGAGGGGTCAGGCACTCTGAGATCGCTGGGCCAGATGATCTCGTGTTCTGCCTCGTTATGAAATCCTGTTTGATGATTGATGGCTGGATGCATAACTTGCATCATGCTGTGTTTATCTGCCCCAATACATGAACTGCTGAAATTTTGAACATTATTTTCCTCTAACTTCAAAAAGGCTTGAATATAGTTATTCATACACTAGAAGAGATAATTCACATACAGCGAAAGATTCAATGTTTTGAGGCAGTTAATTAACCTGAAAAGGATTTCCCGCAGGCTTGGGTATTTCCCCTACCAGAGAAGAGTGAGTAGAGCTGGACACATTTTCTCAATAGATACAACCCATTAAACCTGTGGGTTTATCAGTGAAGGGTTCTTTTGTTTTCTTTCTTTCTTTTTTTTTTTAAATAATTACGGATTCACAAGAAATTGCAAAAATAGTGCAGAGAGGTCTGCCCATACTCTTCCATGTAGCAGCTCCCAGCGGTAGCATCTTACAGAAAAATAGTGCAGCGTCACAGCCAGGAACTGACGTTGGTATGATATGATGAACTATATTACAGACCCTACTTGAATTTCACCAGTTTGTACTGGCATTCATTTTTTTAACATGTAGGTATACACCGTATGAGACTGTATCATCTATCGATTTGTGTAACCACCACTGTGGTAAAGATTTAGAACTGTTCTAAGGAGTCCTATCTTTGATGTCTTGAAAATAGTGTCTTTTGTTTACGTACACATTGAACTTGCTGTTTCCCATTTAAGTTAGTAGCATCTTCATGGACGTGGTTTTTTTTTCCTTCTTTAAATTACTGTTTGTGAACACTGGGGAAGCATCCAAATGGCTTTCAGTCATCTTAAATGTTCACTTGCTTCTTTCTTTCCTAGAGGGCACATGGTGATGGGAGACTCTTTCAACACTTCTCTCTTCAAGCAGACGTTCCAAAGAATTTTTAGTAAAGATTTCAATGGAGATTTCCGCATGGCATTTGGTGCTACTTTGGAAGTGAAGGTACGATAGCTTTCTGACACTTTAATGGAAGATTAGTGCTCTTACTTACTTAGTAGTCAGACTCACCTTGCTGGACACGGGCATCTAAAGGTAAATTAAAAGGTTCCCAGCAAAATAGTTGAAGAAGGTATATTGATTCTGTCCCTTTGCTTCTTGAAAATGACCTGTATATTAATTAACGTTCTAAACAAAGTGCTGTCTGATTCCCCTGCAGGCTCTGCTCTGTCCTGCTCTAGGACTTCGGGCCTAAGAATTGGTGGTGGGCTGAGCAAAGAGGCAGCTGCATGGTGTTGAGTGCCCCCGCCACCGTTAGTATGGGCCACCATATTCATAGAACTGTGTTTATATTTAGCACCTGCCTGCAGACTAGCCAGAGTACCTGAAAATTAGTGCAGCACTGTGAGTTTGGGTCTTGTTTTTTCCTGTAGGGACTGAAAGCCCTGCACTTGATTCTGAGTCATTGAGAAAACATTAGAAGGAGCTGTTACATAATGGGATTAGGATTATTACTTTGAGAATTGGAGATAATCATTAAGTCATTTAGATTAAACTTTAAACAATTTTCTCAAATGTTTGAGGTTTTTTTTTTTTTTAAGTTGAAGAGGAATAGACTTTAATGAATTGAGATTTTAAAATCTAAGTATATTGGCCTTGTTATGTTGGAGTTCATGAATTAAGTATTTTTAAAACAACATAACAGTATATTCACTGATGAGAAATTATAAATAATTACCACTAAGTACATGGGATTGGAAAAAAATGTAGTATAGTTGGTAGAATTGTTATCTTCTATGTGTATAATTATTTCAAAGGTGAGGGGGTGCCTGCCTGGGTCAGTCAGAAGAGCATGAGACTCTTAATCTCGGGGTTGTGAGTTTTGAGCTCCACGTTGGGTGTAGAGATTACTTAAATAAACTTTAAAAAAAAAAAGTAAGGCATATCCTTTGTTTAAAAAAAATTTTCAAAGGTGAGAGTTGAAAATATTGCATCATTTTTGGAACAAAGTTAATGCAGTTTAAAGGAAGATTTTTTTTTTTTTTTAAAGATTTTATTTATTTGAGACAGAGAGAATGAGAGAGACAGAGAGCACATGAGAGGGGGGAGGGTCAGAGGGAGAAGCAGGCTCCCCGCCGAGCAGGGAGCCCGATGCGGGACTCAATCCCGGGACTCCAGGATCATGACCTGAGCCGAAGGCAGTCGCTTAACCAACTGAGCCACCCAGGCGCCCTAAAGGAAGATCTTATTAAAGTTTGCATCAGATCATCATGGGCATGGAAAAGTTGTTAAGAGCATGATCCATGTAGGATTTCTTCTCAATGGAATGATGATGCTGCCATATTTTACCTGTAAATTTTAATTGTGTCTTCTGTGAGAGGTGGTTTTCAGTGAATTTTAACTTTATATTCTTGTGTATTTCCATTTTAGACCTCTCGGGAACTGAAAGTTGCAGGAGCCATCGGTCCTTGTGTGTCTCTGAATGTGAAAGGACCATGTGTGTCAGAAAACGTAAGGAAAACTCCATCATCAACCCATTATAACCCATTAGAAATGTCAGAGCAGGGTGATCTTATCTTACATCATGTCATCTGTTGGGATGTGTCTATGGTGAGGGGAGAAGGGCCAGCTCTTACTGACGACCACAACTCTGAGAGGTGGTGTCATATCTGTCTGTCCATCAGTCTATCTAAAGGGTCAGGGAGAGGCTCAGAGGGGTCTAATATCATGTTCTCTGGGTCAGAGATGATAGGGAGGAGCTAGAGCCCAGGTTCCCCTGACCCCACTGTCCTTGTCTGGGTTTCTGTGCCAGTGAGCCACAACATATTCTATTTAGCAAGGCAAGCATTCAGCAAGAGCCTTCAAGAGTAAACCTCTGTGCTTGTTGCCCTTAGAGATGATACCTTTGTCTCACTTCTCAGAGACCATTTTGAGTTGGTTGGGCTCAAATGACACTGTTGTATGTGTATATAGCTATGTTCTTTGGGTAACAGATGTTGAGGATATGTGAAGAAGTTAAGTTACACTAAGTGGTGAGGTGGCTTTGCTGGTGGTTCACTTCCTCTGCTTATAATTTAGCTGCCAGGAGACAAGCCATTGGGTCCAGTGAGTCCTGTCCAGGGGGGTTCTGGGCGGGGGTTGTCCCAATCCCGTCCTTCCCTCGTTGTCCTCTTCAACGAGACAGTGGTCTGTAGAGCCAGATGTGGATACAAGGGCACAGATCTACCCCTGCCAATTTTGTGTCCCTTACAAGGTATTGACTCACTGTGGGATTCAACGTCTTTATCTGGGAAGTGGGGATAGTAATAGTACCTCACTTGACAGCACTGTTGGGAGGGTAAAGGAGTAAGTTCAGGTAAAATGCTCAGAAGAGCCCCAAAAGAGCCCCTGGCACAATGGAGGCTTACACCAGATTTCATCTTTCACGTTCTCACTTTGTCTTCATCAGCAGTGAACATTCACTTAGTGACTACTTTGGTTAACCTTTTGTTGAAGTTGCCAGAGGCAAAGTGATTTGAGAGAATATTCCTGTAATCCCTTGGGCAAGGCAGGTGGCTGCCCCAAAGCCCATCTGAGGAGTCACCCATTACCCTAGTGTACTAAGGGACTTGTACCCCTAATTCCTGGCGGGGCTTCAGAAGGCTGCCCTGTTCCAAAATATGTTCCATACATTTAAATTCTGCCTAAGAAGGTAATTTTATGAATCAGTACAAGCCAATTAGCTGTTTTAAGATCCGGTAGGGATCAGCCATGAGATTTTGGGAGGGGGCCTGGACGATGCAAAGAGGGGGGAAATACAATTCAGCATCCAGAGAAGTTTAAAGAAGAGCATAAGGAGTTCTGTATATGCACCATTTAGAGTCCACACTTGTTAACATTTAGTCATACTGGCTGTCCTCTTTCTTTGCAGTATTTGCTTTGTCTTTCTGGTCATTATCTGTCTGCCATGTTCACTTTGTTGTACTTCACAGAACCTTGGAACAACAAGCTGCAGAGGTCACGACACTTAGTCTTTCAGTGTGCATCTTCTAAAATTAAGGATGTTCTCCTACTGTGACATTTTATCAAACCTAAGAAAACAGTAGTTTGCTCATATCATCAGTGTCTAGTCATATTCTTTCCCTAATTTCTCCCCAAATATCCTTTGTAGCTATTTTTCCCACCCTCTAACTAGTATTGCATCTAGCATTATATATCCTTAGTCTTTTAAAATCTGGAATGGTCTTCCTGTTCTGCAGGGTTTTTTGCTTTTTTGTTTGATGACAGTGATTTGTGCCAAGCGTCTGTGTCTTCTTCAATAGAGTATCACACATTCTCAGTGTATCTGATCGTTTCCTTGCGGTGGTGGTGAGCTGGTTTCTATCCTCCCTGTGTTTTCTGTAAAGTGAAAGTTAGATTAGCAATTAGATTCGGGTTAGACCTTTTTGTCCACCACAGTTCCTGAGTGATCTTACACCTCGTATGTTTCTTCAAGAGGCACTTCTGTCTGATCATGTGTTAGTGGTGCTGAGTTAGACTGTGTGGAGAAGGTGATGACTGCCCCACGTCTTTCTGTTATAAGGGCACATTTCCTTTTTGCCATTAGCAAGAAATCCGTTGAACGAGATCGTAGCAAAATATGAATATCTTGTTTGCCAATAGCCTTTCACCTAATGGTTTAAGCATCCATTGATTATCCTTATTTGAATCATTGTTTCATTGGAGATTATTAAATGGTGATTTCCTGATTGTATCTTCATAGTTACTCTGGTAAAGGTGGGGTAAATGCTTACATAAGGAATTTGTGTGTTAGTGAGAAAATGTACTCTTGGGGCTCTGGAGGGTTTGTGGCCTGCTCAGGCATTGGTGCTTATAGAAGAGGAAGATTTTTCTTTTTCCTCTACCCATCTTGATTTCATTGGCTGGGCCCTGCAAACGAGACTGACAAAAGACAGGGTTTCACAAGAGAAAAAATTAACTCATGCATTGTGCATAAACATGTGCATACTCAGGAGTAACTCAGAGGGGTGGTTAGAACTTGGAATTATGTGGCATCTTAACAAAAGAAGAGTAAATTTATAGAAAAGTGACAAGACACAGGAAAGGCACTTTGAGCTTCTGGGGGTGGCACATGGTGGAAAAGCAGGTAGATGCGTGAGCTAATGGAAGAGAAGCGTTGGTCTTAGCAGGTTTGTTGTGTAGATTTTTCTTGTACCATCTCTGGGCTGATAAGCATCTAGAGTTGTCTTTGGTGATTGAGAATCATCCTGCCCTTCTTGGTAGGAGGAGGGCAGGGAGTTAGGTTTCTTATGTCTGCTGTTTTTAAATTACCTTCAGCTTAAAATAATCCTTGTCAGAGTGGCATATTTTGTGATGGCATACACCGAGCCCCTTGACTGGAAACTTTAAGAAGTTTCATATATTAAAAATTGAGTTGGTGGGGAACCTGGGAGGCTCGGTTGGTTGAGCTACTGACTCTTGATTTTGGCTCAGGTCATGATCTCAGGATCATGGGATCAAGCCCTGAGTCAGGCTCCTTCCTTGGTGGGGACTCTGCTTGAGATTCTCTCTCTCCCTCTGCCCCTCCTGTGACTCACTCTTGCACGCGCTCTCTCTCAAATAAATAAATAAATCTAAAAAGAAAAAAGCTTAATTTTAGAGTCCTGTAATACATCTTAAATTTTATTCTGGCTTGTAATTGTACTTTTTTAAATTAAATTTAAATGTTCATTTGGAATGAGATCTTCTAAGTAGCCTACCATTCTCAGAGTCAGTACTTTTCATCAGTGGTTAACCACAGGAATAGCGTCTTTGTTTTTTTTTGTTTTAATTCCTCTTCTCACCCCTAGGAACTTGGTGTTGGTGGCTCGAGTCAGTGGAAAATCTGTGGCCTGGATCCCACATCTACGCTTGGCATCTACTTTGAAGTAGTCAATCAGGTGAGTTGGATTTCTTCATGAGTCTTCATGTCTCAGTGTTGTGTTTTCTGATTTATTACAGACCGGTGGCCTCTGGCTTCTTTCTCTGCATACTGATGCTACTTTGGCCTTGTGTTTGCCTGATACCAGTCCAGCATGATCTTTTTTCTCCTTTTAGGGTTTGGTCAGAGTCAGACAGCGTATTGCTTTCACAGCTTAAATTGTTGGACTGATAAGCTCATCAGAAGGTGAATGGCTTTTACCAGCCATCATAATGTTTGTGAATTTTTGAGTGTGTCAGTTTTTTCCCCAGTATTCTATTTTTAAAAATTCTTTTTTTTTTTTAAAGATTTTATTTATTTTATTTATTTGACAGAGAGAGACATCATAGCGAGAGAGGGAACACAAGCAGGGGGAGTGGGAGAGGGAGAAGCAGGCTTCCCGCCGAGCAGGGAGCCTGATGCGGGGCTTGATCCCAGGACCCTGGGATCATGACCTGGGACGAAGGCAGATGCTTAACAACTGAGCAACAGTCGCCCCTTAAAAAATTCTAATTTACAGAAAAGTGAAAAGAATTTTACAGTGAATGGTTGTACATCTACCACTCAGATTCTGTAGTTAACATTTTACTGTATTTACTTTGCTTTGCCACATATCTATTTATCCATCAATTAATCTTTTTGCTGCCTTTTTTTTTTTCGAAAGAGAGGGGGTGTGAGGGAGGGGCAGAGGGAAAGGGAGAGAGAGAATCCCAAGCAGGCTCCATGCCCAGCGCAGAGCCCCGTATGGGGCTCGATCTCATGACCCTGAGATCATGACCTGAGCTGAAATCAGGAGTCAGATGCTTAACCGATTGAGCCACCCAGGTGCCCCTTACTTTTGATGCATTTTATTTTATTTTTATTTTTTTAAAGATTTTATTTATTTGACAGAGAGAGACACAGCAAGAGAGAGAACACAAGCAGGGGAGTGGGAGAGGGAGAAGCAGGCCTCCCGCTGAGCAGGGAGCCCGATGCGGGGCTTGATTCCAGGACCCTGGGATCATGACCAGAGCTGAAGGCAGACGCTTAACAACTGAGCCACCCAGGCGCCCCATGTTTGATGCATTTTAAAACAAATTACACTCATCAGTGTCTTTCATCTCTAAACACTTTAGCATGCATATCATTTACTTGAATTTAGTATTAATCTGAATATGGTTCCTTTTTTTTTTTTTTACTTAGGAAATATTTTATTGTATAAAATTTACATTTGTTGAATACAGTGAAAAGCATGGCAAAAGAACTTTTTGTTAATCCATTTTCTTTGAGATTTTTTTGTGAAAAGTAAAGATTTTCTAATACATTTGCAGATAATATAACTTTTTATATAGTTGTTTAACAGTTGTGTTGGTAATAAGTGTCTTGGGACATAAGGTATAAAACTGAAAAAAGATCAAAAAAGCACAGGGGGAAGACCACTACCAAAGAGTAATCTCCACGAACTTGGCATTTTCCACTTCAAGGCAGATGCTGTGGGGTCGTCACACTATAAACATGGTTTGATTATCTGAAGCCATTTGTTAAGATACTCAACAAGACCTAATGCATCTGGGATATTGTCTCCTTCTGAAACAAATTTCAGCAGAACCACCGCTGGGATTTCTTTAGAACAGCCTTCATCATAGAGTGTTTTTGTGATACCTCCTCCAGGAATACGAATACAGAACTGAGAATCATCTATTTCAGGAATGCATGGGCTTTTTTCCATTTCTTCCCAGTTAAGGCTCATTATTTTAGTTTGAACACTTTTTTGCACAAAAGGTGTGAGTAGGTATCTGAAGGGAGTACTGCAAAGCTGTAGATCATTACAGTGATATGAATGACTGCTTGAAAGAACAATAACTTTGGCACAGTTACTACTTTTCACCCAGGAAAGCAGTTTTTCACAGAATGGCTTTGATTTATACTTAATAAAAATGGATCTTAACTGAAGAGCCACTAGCTTCTTTGAAGGCAATGAATATATTTCAGCATTTATACTGAGTTCTGTTGAATTTTCTTCTGCAGTTGCATATGGATTGTTTCCAACCATCGGCACAAGACAATCATAGAAGTAACCAATCTTACACATATTTAGTGTAGAAATAATCAAATCCATTGCAAGCTGGCCAACATTTCCAACAGATACTGCTGGCATTAGGAAAGTGTAGCCCGTGAGGTCGGGGACCGACTCTCCACAGGGAACGAACATGGTCGCACAGAAGTGGGAGAACGGGGTCTCCTTTTTTTTTTTTTTTTTGAGGTGAAAGTTATGTACAGTGAAATGCCCAGATTTTAAGTGTACCATTTAGAATGTGTCAAGAACCGCGCTGTCACCACTGTGTCAGTCGTTTTAGGAAGAGCACAATGGGCTCTGTGACCATTTGTGTTTGAGTCGTGCCTGTAACAGTAACCAGGTGTGTGGCCTGTTGCCTGCAGCACAGTGCCCCGGTCCCCCAAGGAGGCAGAGGTGCCGTCCAGTTTGTCACGCAGTATCAACACTCCAGCACCCAGAGACGCATCCGCGTGACCACCATTGCCAGAAAGTAAGCAGTCCCGGTTTCCTTCCTGTTGAGCCCGGATGTTTTTCCTTTGAAGAGATCATTTAGCATCTGTTAGTTTATCTTTGTAATTCCATTGAATGGTTCTCACCAATCCTGACTGGCTCATTTGATCAGAGAAGGAGGAGGAGGAAGAGGCTTTGCTGGCCAACCTAGTTAGACCTGCAGGCACTTGCCTGGAAGAATCCTCTTTTTGTAAAATATTAACTTTCGTTATTATCAGATAAGTAACCCATAAGTACATCCTCCTTGTAAAAGATTCAAACAGCTCATAAATGTAGAAAGAATCGGTCTCTTTACCCACTCTCCCCAGAGGTGAAATGCTCTTACTGCACGGGTAGCTTCACGGGCCCATTTCCATGGAGCTCTGTACCATAGTGTGTATAATGTGCATGTGTGGCTTCTTGTGTTGTCATGTTTGTAAGCTTTTCTCCGTATGTGTCAGGGACATCTTCCACGTTAGTACGTACCAGCTGCTCCTCCCCTGTAGTGGCCGCACCGCGTTGCATGGTTTGGATGGGACGCGTCCCTCCTCTCTTAAAGGAATTTCACATCCTACCTTCCTTCCAGCAGTGCTGCATTCATGTGTTTAGGTCTTTGTGTGCATTGAATATTTCTTTCCTGCCGCTTCATAGAAGTAGAATTTTGTATCCCGCGAGACTACTCTTCTAAGAAGTGAATTTGTATTCTCCCCAGTAGTGTAAGGAGAGTGTCCGTTTTCTCATTAATAATATTATCGATCTTTAACATGCCAATATAGAGCAGTTTGCCACTTTTAATGTATTTTTCTGTTTATTAATGGGTCGAACACTTTTCATGTTTATTGGCCATGTATATTTCTTCTGTGATAGCCTTTGCCCATTTTGTAAAACCTATGTCTTTTTCTTGTTCATTGATTTGCAGGGACTTTTTATGTATTTTGGATATGATTATTGTTGTTCATATCTGTTCCTGGTCTGTCTGTTGTCTTTCAGTTTTGTTCATAGTGTCTTTATCTGTCTAAAAAATTTTTGTATATGTGCTCGTTCTTTCTACCATGGATATGATGTGGAAAGTCATTTTGTGAATTTGTAAACATACAAATTTTTGCAAGATTGACCTAGAGGAAGGAACTGAAGACTTGGGTACCTTTTGGGTATCTACTCTTGTGCTTATCTTGTAGAACATTGGGAAGTTCTCTGTAATTTTTCCTTTGTTCTTAAAGCCTTCAGAGATCACATGAGGGTAAATGAAAATGTATGTAAAACTCCTGTGATTCCTTATTGACAATTGCAGTTTGAATCTATGTCGCCTTAGATGAAGGAGCAGGACTTAGGTTTCTTTATCTTAACGGAAAGCTGGTTTTCTGGTCTCTCCCGAATGTAAGCGTGGCACTGATTCTGGAATTGTCAGTTGGGCAGATGCGCAGAGCCAGCTCAGGCACATAGAAGCAGCATTTGACCAGGAGGCTGCAGCAGTCTTGATGGCTCGGCTGGGAGTGTTCCGCGCAGAGTCAGAGGAGGGGCCCGATGTGCTCCGGTGGCTGGACCGACAGCTCATCCGACTGGTGAGTTGGCAACTGTGGCACCAGCTTCAGGCATAATCTTTGCTGTGTATTTGAGAAGGGAACTCTGGCACATACACCTGTCACTTCATACAGTCAGCCAACAAGCACTTTGTGTTGCTTACTTTATGCCTAACTTTGGACGTCCTGGGAGTGACATAAGACAAGTGTTACACATGCATTTTCCCCCCGCGAGGGCTTACATTAGCATTAGAAAGAAACAACATGCACAGGACATTTAGAGAAGGATGCAAATCTGTGTACGGTAAGGGTTGATTTAGATGAGTCCCTGTGGGTCTGTGGTTCTATATTTTCCTTCCAGGTTTAACAGATTTTTTTTTAGCAATAGGGGTCCATTGCCCAGTGAGTGTAGAGATGTGTGTGATTCTGGGTCTAATCAGGAGAGAGAAACCACATAGTCATTTAAACAGGGAAAGCATGAACAAGCTTGTGGGACGTAGCTGTGCATTTCAGCTTATGCTGAAGAGACCATGGGAGCACAGATTGGTGGGAAGTAGTGAAGGTGTGGCTTAATTGTAGAAAGCTTCATTTTATTTATGAATTTATTTTAATTTTTATTATTGAAGTATGGTTAACGTACAATGTAATTTTAGCTTCAGGTGCACAATAGTGATTCAACAATTCTATTGGAATGCCTTGATTTTAAAGTTAAGTCACTGCTTAGGTGTGATTCTTACGCAGGGGCATGCCATCAGCATGATGCTTGTGTTTACATTTACCATTACCAAATGAGATAGACTGGAGGGTGAAAGGCTACTGATAGGGAGAACAGTGGAGGATTCTGGAGGCTCAAGAGCTGAGACCAGGGTGGTGGTAGGACCGTCGAAGGGGAGGGAAAGTTTGGAATCAGGATGTATGCTGAAAGAAGAGTTGATAAAGCTTGTTCAAACTAGGTGGAATCAAAAACCAAAAAATTAACACTAACAGGTTTTGAGTGTGGGTGACTGCAAGGATGATGGAGAGGTAAAAGAGCTGGAAGATGGGAAAGGGTGGAGAGAGGCATAATTTTTTTTTAATGTGATAAATAGTTCAACTTACTTTACTCATGAACTTGTGAAAGTACGTCCGAGGGAAGCTATCCTGTAGTTGTTTGGAAGTCCCTACAGGAGCTCAGGTTAGAGGCAGCACTGGACAGGGGCGGAGTGGGGGGGTGGATATGGTTGACATCAGTCTGGCTTTCCTGTTACTTGTAGCCGAAGCAGTGAGGTTGGGAGCAGGGGGCCAAGACCTAGCCTCCGAGGAACCCACTGTTAGGACGTAGGGAGATGAAGGGCATCTCAAGACAGAGAAGGATCCGTTGGAGAGGAGAAATAGGAAGGTGCTATGTTAGCGGCTGGAGGAGAATTTCACAGACTTTGGGGGAGCCACTTGACCTGTGGTGCTGGGGAGTCCAGGAAGATGAGAGCCATACCAGGTCATTGGACTTGGTAAGAGAGGGTAACTGCCAGAGATGGGCTTTCTTTCAGTGGCAGAGGGTCCAGTTGTCTAGTGGCCAGAGGAGATGTGTGAAACAAAGAGGAAATAAAAGCGGAAGAGAAAATGTTGTTCAGAAACTTGTCTTTGAAAAAAGGAAGAAAATTGAGCTGTAGTGTTGCAGACCTAGGAGCTTTTCCTACGGAAGAGGCACCTAAGACAGCTCCTCGAGCCACTGACTGGTCAGAGCAGTCCTCCGGCAGCATCTCCTGGGAGCTGGGTAGAAATGCAGGATCTCTCCAGATCTGCGGAATCAGAATCTGTTTAGCAGCGCCCTGGGTGATGGGTCTGTCCGGCTATGCTGGAGAAGCGTTGGTCTGGGACCCTCAATCAATCAGAGTTGAGACTGGAATGTAGCTCTCCTACTGCAAGGTGTTTTCCAGGTGACACTGACTTGACTTTTTTCTTCTTTGCTTTTCTTTCAACAGTGTCAGAAGTTTGGACAGTATAACAAAGAAGACCCCACGTCTTTTAGGTTATCAGATTCCTTCTCTCTGTATCCTCAGGTAAGTAATATGTATTTTTTTTAGTATATGTGCTACTGAAGTGAGCACTGTATTTTTTAAATACGAAAAATAAATTGTTAGAGAAATAAAACTCTCCGCTCTCAGGCTAAAGTGAAGACTTGGTGGGTTTTGAGGCTCCATCTATAGGTGATGAAGGTTGTTCAGTTCAGGACAGATACTGTGTCTGTGTGCGAGACAGTGCCTCAGCCCTACAGAAGACAAATGACACGCAGGGAGGAAAAGAGAGCGGCTCCCCAGCAACCCCAGCAAAACAGGGTTGTTGCTGAAGACCACAGCAGAATCTCTTCATTTGTAGAGGTTCTGGGTAGGCAGCTACCTCAGCAGCTGCTCAAGAAAATGAAGCACCTGTGAAGGTGAATATAACAAAATGAGGCCACAGATCATGACAGATATTTAATGATATGTGTGTAGTGACGGTGCTGATCGTACCTGGGAATCAGCAGTAAGCAGCTCCTGTAAATGACCACATCGTGCGCGAACTAGGCATTCGGGAGCCGTTGGACAGTGAAAGGTGGGAGAGGAGTGGACACGGCATGAAACCGCTGTCAGGAATCTGTGTATTTACCTCTCCTGACGTCCTTCCTCATCTGTAAATGAGGAAGCTAGAGCCGGGCTCGGTGGGTGGTTGTGAGGATGGCAAGCCGAGGCGGAGAGTGTTGCCCGCAGGCCCAGGCGCCCGCCAGGCACTTGGTCGGTGTGGGTCCGCTCCACAGCGGGCCCACGACTCTCAGGTGGCCCCTTCACAGGCGCAGCTTTCCCGGAACCGGAAGCAGAGCCAACTCTTTTCCCTTCCCTCGGAGATGCCTTAATGAGGAATAAGTAGAGAGCAGCATACTTTCATTTTTAAATAAATTTGTGAGCACTCACATATCCTAGTAGGAACTATTCTTTTGATTACTCAATTTGGAAAGTGGACACAGATTTCACTCATGAACTTGTATAGCTTGAACTCTCAGGGTTGAAAGGGGGCCTTAGAAGTCCCTTCACCTGACCCCTGGCCCAGGGCAGGGCTCTGTGGTCCCTGACGCCTGCGCCTGTGGCCTGTGCTGGGGCAGTGGAGGCTGTCCGGTGTTGTGGAGGACACCCCAGTCCTGCCAGAGTCCGAGCACAGCTCCGGAGCTGGCTCTGCCCCTGCTGACCCTGGAGGAGGCCCTGAAGCCCCACGGATGTTGGTGTCCTCTTTACAAGGAAGGAGTGGGTCTGGAGAAGTGGTTTGCAGTCTCTTTGAGGTTGTGGAGCCCTTTCTTGGAGAGGACCCCCTCAGAAGCCAGCACATAAGCAGACAGACTTGCAGCTGCTCTGGTTGTGCCCACCCTTACCACCGCTGCTGCCAGGGCACCTTCCACCGCCCCCCATCTTGGGCCCAGCGGACCCGCTAAGACCGAAGAGCACAGCTGGAAAACCACTGAATGGGGTGGTTTGTAAGATTCCTTTCGTCGAGGCATCTAGGTTAGAGGTCAAGCGCCCAGTCTCTGGAGCCAGATGCCTAGAATAAAGCGGTTCTGCCCCTCAGTGTGAGTGGCCTTGGGCAAGTTGCCTACCCCGCAGTTTGCTCACCCATAAACTACAGGTGGTAAGAGAACCTGCTTCGTGGGTATATTAGAAGAATTAAATCATTCTTTCAAGTCCTTTGCGCCTTGCATACAGGATGTATTGATTATCAGCCATGATTATTATGTAGGAACCAATGGTTCAATATTTGGAGTCTCAGTAAGCTTTATACTTCTCAAGGCAGCTCATTTTCATGTTCTGGCGCCTCTTTATCCTGACGTGGGGCTTGAACTCATGACCTTGAGATCAAGACCTAAGCTGAGATCAAGAGTTGGACCCTTGGGGTGCCTGGGTGGCTCAGTCAGTTAAGCATCTGCCTTCAGCTCAGGTCATGGTCCCAGGGTCCTGGGATCGAGCCCCGCACAGGCTCCCTGCTCAGCGGGGAGCCTGCCTCTCCCTCTCCCTCTGCTGCTCCCTCTCCCTCTGCTCCCCGCTGAGCAGCTGCCCCTGCCTTTGCATGCGTGCTCTCTCTCTGTCAAATAAATAAAATCTTAAAAAAAAAAAAAGAAACGAGTTGGACTCTTAACCAATTGAGCAACCCAGGTGCCTCGTTTTATTTTATTTTTATTTCTATTTTTATTTATTAAGTATTGGCTCCTCTTTAGAGAGAGCTGAAAGTCTGCCATGCCTCTTCTGATCTCAGGGTAAAGAACATACCTCTCCAGGCTCCTCTCTTATCCCTGTCTTCCCTCCACCCCTGATGCCAGTGCACCAGCCTGAGTGCCTCTCATCTGTAACTGCAGCTGGAGTCCCCTCCCTCTGGCCTCTTCATGAACATCTTTCAGACCCCAGTGGCTTGGGAAGCTTCCTGCTGCCCCTCCATCCCCACCCCATCCTACTAGTACTTTCTGGTATCGTGCTCACAGCTTTTTATTGTGCCTGCCCAGAGTGGGCCTTTTCCTCACGGCACTGTGGCCTCTCTAGAGCAGACATTCTGTCTGCACCCTGGCCCAGTGACTCCAGAAATAAATGGTTCTTTGCCTTTCCCATTACCTGTGGAAGCTTTGACACACCCACAGGGCCCCTCCCCCTTTCTTAAAAATAATGTTTATAATTGTGGTGAAAAACACCTTCTTAACCATTTTTCAGTGTGCAGTTCAGTAGTTTTCAGTATATTCACATTGTTAATGCAGCAGATCTCCAGAACTTTTTTATCCTGCAAAACTGAAACTGTACTTATTAAACAGCAGCTTCCCATTTCCCTCTTCCTCCAGGCCTTGGTACTACCATTGTACTTTCTGCTTACAGGAACTCATAGGCCTTTGTCTGAAAGTCTAGCTTCTCTTTCAGTGACCTAAGGCAAGCTCGCTGTCTGGGTGTCTAAGAAAGTTACAGCTATATGCATTTGTCTCTTTTTTTTCTTTGTAAATGCAGTTCATGTTCCATCTTAGAAGATCTCCATTTCTCCAAGTGTTTAACAACAGTCCTGACGAGTCGTCATATTACAGACACCATTTTGCCCGACAGGATCTAACCCAGTCCCTCATCATGATCCAGCCCATTCTGTACTCCTATTCATTCCACGGGCCGCCAGAGGTGAGGTTTATGTGAATGCTTTTGTCAGAATTGGAATCACGTAATACAGGTTGTTTTTTTTTTCTAGCAAGTTTACTCTTAGAGCAAAGCTGTAAAAAAAAGAAAACTTTGAGTCTTTATAGTAGTTTAACATTAATTCTGAGTATTAAAAAATAAACATAGGAGAAAGTCACAGGACGTATAAAGAACGCTATTATCTGTGGAAGGCAGGATTATATATTAAAAAAACTTATAAAAATATGTAGATACTTTTTTTTTTTCCCAGTTACTTTGGCCCAGTAATTCCATGTCTTGTGCCTGAAGGAAATCCTCTTACATATAGGAAAAGCTTTGTTCAAAGAAATAGGAAAATGAACTATTATAATAGAAGATTAGAAAACAATCCAAGTGTTTAATAGTAGGAAAATAAGTAATCTGAGAAATATTTACAAAGTTTATGTAATGTGATAAAATACTAAATGTTATATGAAGGGGTACCTGGCTGGCTCAGTTGGTAGAGCAGGCGACCCTTTATCCTAGGGTCATGAGTTCGAGCCCCACATTGGGCTTAGAGATTACTTAAAAATTTAAAAAAAAAGAAGAAAAAAGATACAAGCATCGAATTTAATTATTCTAGAAAGGGGGCAGTACCTGGCTAGCTCAGTCGGCTGAGCATGGGACTCTTAATCTCTGAGTTGTGAGTTGAAGCCCCTCACTGGGTATAGATATTACTAAAAAAAATAAAATTACATGAAAAAAATCAAAATAGAAACTTTCCTAAATTGTGTATTTTTTAGCATACAAGAATTAAAAACTAAGTGAAAATAAATGATGAATATTTGTTGGACCTGGGGACAAATTTTCAAATTTTCCTTAATGAGTACATTACTTTTATTATTGAAATAGAAATTATTATAAATGGATTTTATAATAAACTTTTAAAACTCCTATTACGAGCTTTTCTTTTTCATACAGGCATCGCTGTTTTCAGTCAACTACAGCAATAGATTTGAGAGGATGTGTCTCCAATAGATAAAATACATTTCTAACACAAAACTGAGAATGTTTAGAATTATCTCTGGTTCCTGGAGCAAAAGATGTCCTTAATCTCTCTTCCCAGTTGATGAGGGATTATTTGGAGCCTCTTTCTAATACAGAGTTGATACTTAGAACTTCTGGGTCAGGGAGCAGAAAGCAGGAGTTTCCTTAAAGATGGAGAGAGCCATTGTGCCAGGTGCCATTCGTACGCAGCCTCCTAGCTGTTGTGTAGACCACCCAGGTGGGGAGTGGAGCAGTCGCCGTCGGGGGTACAGGGGGAAGACCAACGCCATCTCTCTCCCTTCTTCTTCAGCCAGTACTCTTGGACAGCAGCAGCATTCTAGCTGACAGAATTTTGCTGATGGATACTTTCTTCCAAATTGTCATTTATCTTGGTGAGGTAAGAAGATACTAATTTCTTTCCTTACTATTGTTTTGGCTTTCTTTTTCTTAATTTAGGTTTTTGTGACATTTGGAATAATTTGGGCTTAGAAGACCCGCTGTTTATTAGAATGAGTATAGCGGTAAAATCTTTTTTTCAGGTCCCTGGGGTATTTGTATATTTAGTAATTTTAATTATATTTGCTGTAAGTAAATCTCAGGTGGTCCTTTTAAATCACTCTAACTTACTGCTTTTCAAATTGTAAGACAAGGTCACTGTACTTTCCCTCATTCGATCCTTGACACTCACTGCTATCCTTTTGGAGTTACAGTAGAGTTATTAGTAAACAGTAAGTTTGGGGACTCCTGGGTGGCTCAGTCGGTTAAGCATCTGCCTTCGGCTCAGGTCATGACCCCAGGGTCCTGGGATTGAGTCCCGCATCGGGCTCCTTGCTCAGCAGGGAGCCTGCTTCTCCCTCTGCCTGCTCCCCCTGTTTGTGCTCTCTCTCCTTTCTCTCTCTCTCTCTCTGACAAATAAATAAATAAAATCTTTAAAAAAAAACCACCAAAAACAATAAATTTGGGACTAAAATTTTTCTTTGATGAAATAACATGGCACCCTGACCCTTACCCTGGTCTGTGGATCCCTAGGATGACTGTGGATGGCTTTCAGGGGGGAGTCCCTTTCTTCCTCAGAGGGGTTTCCTAAGAAAGGGAATGGCTCCTCTGAAGAAAATCCTTTAACTGAGCATTATGTTCATTGATAAATTCTTTTCCTACTGTTGTCCATTCTTTACCTTCAATAAATTGCTTTGGTGATTGACTTGACTTCCTAGTCTATCTATATGTTAGATGTGATTTCAAATGTTCTGCAAAGGTATATTGTATTTCAGAATTCCCTTAATAACTTAGGATGAATTAGTTTTCTGATACTAATATGCGTTTTACAGTTTTTAACTTTTTTCAGCATATTAACACCCACTCTGCTAGGCGCTTGCCCATTGGGTGACCAACTGCCGTTCCCACTGGTTCCTATAGGAGCAATAATCATGATGTAGGTTTCTATGCCTTCAGCTCAGCCCTTAAAGACTTTCTGACCACAACCCCCATCCTGTTCATTCACACATTTATTGAGTACCATCTGTGTGCATGCAAGTGATGGTTTCTAAAGACAAAGACAGTGACATGGTTCTCACTCTCCAAAAGCCCCATATCTGCTGGTTGTGGGTGTTCTGATGAACTCTTGGACCCAAACGAGCTTATGGGCATTTCCTCTATGCCACCAGTCAGTCAGAAATTAAGACCTGAAAAATGTTACTGGAAACTCTGAAAAGGGAAGAGCAGGCTGCAGAAGGAAGCACCTAAAGAGAATCTTCTTCTGGTATCAGACTAACAGTTCTGTTTTTAAAACCCATCGATCACTTGTTACATCCTCTTACTCCATTTCCCCCTCCACTGTTTTCTTTTTTAGTGTCCCCTAAATAACACGTGAAAGCACGTCAGGTTATTTATAAAGTTATATTAATCAGTCAGCGAATATTTCTTGATTTCCTGTGTGCACAAGGCATTTTCTAGAGCTGTTGCCAATAGGGATAAAAGAGGGGGAGACACAGTGTCAGCTGAGGTGGGGAGATTGGCTTTACCTTCTATGCTGTAGTATATTGCCTTTTACTTGCCTAATGAACACCCATGCATTGATTCTTGCAGCTTTTCTCTCCCCCACCAAGAGTATCCTAACTCAGAGCCCAGGGGAGTTGGGGATGAGTCTGGGTGACACTAGGCACTGGAGTTAGGCGTAGAGGTGTGCCCCTAGGGAAGAGAAAGGGGATGGATTCCATGTAGGAAGTCAACAAATCCCTTTCCCTACCAGCTGGAAGGACATGGGCGGCTGGACCCAGTGATGGCAGTGGAGATGGAAAGGCCAGGTGGCTCCTTGGGACAGCTGTTCCCTGGGTGTTTTTATTTTTTGTTTGTTTGTTTTTTAAAGATTTTATTTATTTATTTGAGACAGAATGAGAGACAGCATGAGAGGGAGGAGGGTCAGAGGGAGAAGCAGACTCCCTGCCGAGCAGGGAGCCCGATGCGGGACTCGATCCCGGGACTCCAGGATCATGACCTGAGCCGAAGGCAGTCGCTTAACCAACTGAGCCGCCCAGGCGCCCCCCCTGGGTGTTTTTAGCTGGTTGGTATGTACAGGTAGAAAGGGAAGAGGTGTGACTGATGGCTCTGACGTTTCTGGGAGAACTGTGTAGGTGGGGGTGTCCTGGCTGCATCTCTTTGCTTACTCATACTTGTCCTACCCAGCTCCCCTTGCTACCCACTGCAACTTGTCATTCTTGACATGACTTCTTCCCTGGAAACAAGTTCTGGGTGGTAGTGGGAGTATTAGAATGTCAGGAGTGTCAGAGAAGACTATTGTTTCTGTGTTTCCACAATGGTTTTGGTTGTTGGTTTGTCTTGGTGCAGACCATAGCCCAGTGGCGTAAAGCTGGGTACCAGGACATGCCTGAGTATGAAAACTTCAAGCACCTCCTGCAAGCACCACTGGATGATGCCCAAGAGATTCTGCAAGCACGCTTCCCCATGCCACGTTACATTAACACGGAGCACGGAGGCAGCCAGGTGAGTGAGCTGTATTCCAGCTCTCGTGTTCTGGTGGTTTCATGATGTAAATGGCTATATATCCAAACAGCATGGTTAATATTTTATGTGGTGACATAAATTGACATTCAGGCAAACTTCCAAATATGACTTCTTAAATGAGTGGTAATAATACATTAATGTAGAAAGTAGAGGATTGCCAAAATAAAACACTTCATGCTTCAGGAACCCTAATAAATGGAGAGTCATTGGCTTACACTAATGAAATGGGTGCCTTTGTGGTGTTAAAAAAAAAAAAAAAGCTAATTTAACAAAAGGAAATGTGGTAAAAACTTTTTTCCTACTACACCAATATTAATGTCACTTATAATCTTTAAATCTCTTGTGTTTTTAAAGGCTCGATTCCTCTTGTCCAAAGTGAACCCATCTCAGACACACAATAACCTGTATGCCTGGGGACAGGTAAGAAATTGTCAGGTATCTGGGGAGGAGGCCAGGCTCCTTTTTGAAAAACTAGTTACCAAATGGATCTGTTTTGGCTTTAGAGACAGAAGAACTCAGGTATTTTGCGGGGGCGGAGAAAAACCTTTCAGTACCATAGCTGAGACGAGAGGGGGTGCCTCGTGTGGATCCCCTTCTGCAGTACACAGCCTACTATGACAGATTCGGACCAGAGGACAGAACTCTGTGGCGTGACCTGCATTTGGCTGTCTTCATAGACACAGCAACATCTCCCCAGACATTCCCTTGCCCCCCAACCCCACTCCTCTCTTTCCCAAGGGTGTGGGGCAAAAACATCTGCTCACCACTGGCTCTGTCTCCTCCTCACTTTTCAGCCTCTGTCTTCTTTTTTATCTAATTATTCCCAACATTTATGTCTCTCTCAAGTCTTTCCTTTCCCTCTTCTAACATTTTTGAAAATTAAACTTTCTTTTGAGGTAGTTGTAAATTTACAAGCAGTTGTTAGAAGTAATATGGAGAGATTCTCTGTGCTCTCCACCTGCGTCCCCCGATGGGAATATCTTGCACAACCGTAATGCAGTATCACAGTCAGGATATTGACATAGATAAGGTCCAGATACACGTTTCCATCACCACAGGGATCTCTCATTTGCCCTTGTATAGTCACTCTCACTTCCCTCCAGCCTCCACCTCTTCCTTAACACCTGGCGACTGCTGCCGTGTTCTTCACTTCTATGATTCTGGTGGCAGTCCTTTTCTTTAGGCATCTGAAAAATATTTTGCCACTTCTCTTGCCTTCTGTGGTTTCTGATGAGAAATTCATTGTCATTATTGTTTTTCCCCTGTAGGTAAGATGTCATTTTTCTCTGGCTGCTTTCAAGATTGTTTCTTTGTTTTTATCTGTGTCCAGTGATTGTTTACCAGCCTTTTCAGCTCCAGGTCTAAATACCATGTGTTTGGTGTGGATTTTTTTGGATATATCCTATTGAGAATTTGCTTGACTTCTTGATTCTGTGTATTTATCTCTCTTGCCAAAATTGGGTAGTTATCAGCCATTATTCTTTGAATAGCTTTTCAGCCCATCCTCTTTTGTGGTTCCACAGGTCCCTGGTACCCTGTTCATTTTTTCCCACCTGTTTTCTATTTTTCAGTTGGGTAATTTCTATTATTTTATCTTCCAGTTCACTGATTATTGTCTCTGTTCCTTTTCTTTAATGAACTCACACACCGAGGTTTTTATTTGTTTCTGTATTTTTCAGTTTTAAAACTTTACTTTGGTTTTTTTTATGTCTACTTCTTTCCTGAGACCTTCTTTCAGGCTGTTTTCTCATTTGTTTCAAGTATGTTCAAGTAATTGCTCATTGAAGCTGCTTTGAAGTCTTTGTGAGATAATTCTAACACTGTTGTCAATTTGGTGTTAACACCTGCTGACTGTTTTTCATTCACTTTGAGATCTTGGCTGTTGGTATGACAAGTGATTTTTTATTGAAATGTGAACATTTTCATATTTGTTATGAGACTCTGGATCTATTGAAATTGGCTGTTTTAGCTGGCTTTTAGTCATGCTGCTTTGGGAGAGAAGTGGGGGAAGACATTGTTTCATTACTGCCAGAGAGCAAACCAGGTTTTCCATTGGCCTCTTGACACGACACCTGGATGGGGGACAATTCATTGTTATTGTTATTGTTGAGTGGGGATGGGTGTTCCAGCTCCCCACCTAGTCTCCACTAATCCCACCATGGAGATGGCCTTGTTGGTGTTGGATGGTAGTGAAAGTGCTGACTCTCCACTAGGCCGCCTCTGATACCCAATGCAGGGGGCACGGAGGACATCTTACTACTGCCAGGTCTGGGTTGAAGTGCAGGCTCCCCGAATGGTCTCTACTGGTACCATGGCAATTAGGGAGACGTCCCCCTGGCCATTGGGGAGGAAGTCCCCAGTGCCATACTTGGCCTTCTCTGAAAGCATCCTGGTAGGGGTGTTGGGGTCCCTTGTTACTGTCTTGTGAGGGTGGCAGTCTATGGTGCTCACTCAGCCTTTGCTGGTGTGGGTGGGGCCACAGTTTTTTCTGTCATCTTTGACTGGAGTTATTATCTAACATTTGTTGTGTTGCTAGGCTACACTGGTCCTTTAGCTAGAGAAAGTTGGCTTTCTCTCTGTTTTTGTCTGTGTCCAGTGATGTTTACCAGCCTTTTCAGCTCCAGGTCTGGGATATATGAGGCAAAAAGGAAACCCAAGGCACTCACCAATGTGTTGTTCCTTGGGACTCAAGGCCCTGGTTTGTCTGCTCTCTTCTCTCCACCTTTCATAGTCTTCTTATTTTTTTTTATACAAAATGCCCAGGGTTTCTAGTTGTGTTCAGTGGAAGGAATAGGGAAAAGCACAGGTACTCCTTCTTCCCAGAAGGCATCTTCTTATAAAATTTTAATTATGCTTATATTTTCCTAATAGTAGTACAGTATCATTTTGGAAAATTTGAATATGTTAAAGAAAAGATTAAGAAAGAAAATTAACATTACTTATAATGCCACTATCTAGAGTTAAGTATTTCCAGCTTCTTTGTAGGTAATATAAAATGTGTATATTATGTATATTTTTACTTATTTTTTACAAATTTGGGATCTTATTAGAAATCAAGGTTTCTATTCAGTTCTTTTCCCTTCACATTACATAAATCATGAACATTTTCTGATAGTACAGATATCCATCTTTTCAGTGGAGATCCTGATCCACTCATTAGTAAATATGCCACCCTACAAGCTTCTGTTGTAAGCATGGCATGAAGAACATTGGGTTAGGTGCTGGCAGAGTGATGGGGAAGGTGAGACACAGGGTGTGTGGCCTCCAGGAGCTCATGCTTGATGGGCAGCCAGACTCTGGGCGAGTCATCAGAACTATGGAGAGGATTAAAGTAGAAGGGCATATGCCCGAACTGTCTGTAGTGGCAGGGATGGCCTGACCTCAGTGGTTTGGAGAAGGGTTTTGTGGGGAAATTATGCTTCAGTTGATAGAATAGTTAGCTAGGCAGAGGATGGCAGTGGCGAGAGTCCTCCTACCTAGCATAGGGGGTAACACTGTGAATGTTCCAAGGTGGTGGAAGCGTCCTTAATAATTCATGAATTCTAACCAACTTTTCAGATACCTGCCAATAAATCTTTACCATTAAATTTCAGGAAACAGGAGCACCCATCCTAACTGATGATGTTAGCCTGCAGGTGTTCATGGATCATTTGAAGAAGCTGGCTGTCTCCAGTGCTTGTTAAGCTGGAAGATGTGAGCAGAACATTGAAGAACACATCGGATTGTGTTCACAATTGCTGATAACGGCTTAAAAACATTCCTTTCACTTTACTTGTGGGTTTTAATAAATAATCAAAGGAAGCATTGTGTGTAACTCTTTAGATTATAATTTATTTGTATTCCTTATTGTGCCCCTCTTCCTGCATCATGAAGTTGTAAGGTCATAAATGTTTTGGTACTTGTAGATGTTTATATGCTTTTTATATCCTAACTTTACAGTTATATAAAATCAGAGGTAATGTATTTTGGCAACTTACTTAGGTGAAAATCATAATGATCAGAAAGGAAATCTGGATAAAGAAAGCACCGGCTAAAATAATGCTAATACAGATTTGATTTCCTGAAGTCTCTGTGTGTGTATGTGTGTGTTTTTAGTGACTCCCCTGAGAGATATTTCCTGAACTTAATCCTCATTTTCTGTCTTAATGTTAACCGAGGGAAAGCTTGAAATATGTGAAACTTTATCATCAAGGCAGAGCTGTCTGGAGTGCACTGTCCCTAACTCACATGTAAACAGCGCAGCCCAGGTAGCCATAAAGAGTGGCTGATGGGCATCAGTGGCTGTAATAGAGTGATAATACATTTATCTCGGGCATCAAGTAAAATAAACAGGTACTGTTTTTTAATCAAAGTAATATATGCATGGTTTTAAGAAACAAAACAAAACAACGTATCCTAAAGAGCTTTATAATAACAGTTCACTCCTTGAGCCTAGAACTACTCTTTAGAGGTGACTGGTTTTAACCTTTCCTTTCAAGTTATTTGTTGATGTATCAGTGTTAGGCAATGTGTCTCTCAATTCCCATTTTCCAGAATGAGGACCTTTCTATACCTTTATTTTTATATTATCAAGGTTGGTAAAATTTACATTCCAACCTATAACCACAGTTATGTCTTCTGTTTCAAAGTTCATTCTGAAAGTTGAAAAACTAATAAAGATCATTTACACAGTTGTGATAATGTAAACATTGTCTGTGTTCGAGTCAGGTAGTATTACATTTTTCTCCAAGGGTTTGCTGTCTCAGTCCCTACACCACTTGAAGGAAAACATTCCCAGTGACAAAATCAGTCACTTACGTTCTTATATTCTAGCACTCCACAGGTTGGTTTGCTTCTTTTTTGCATCATAACTTCATGTATTTGTTGTTTTCCCTAGAGTCTCTAATTTTTTTTTTGGCGGGGGAAGAAGATTTTGTTTTCTATTTATTCAGAAATTTGAATTTCTTTTTTTTTTTTTTAAGATTTTATTTATTTGACAGAGAGAGACACAGCGAGAGAGGGAACACAAGCAGGGTGAGTGGGAGAGGGAGAAGCAGGCTTCCCGCTAAGCAGGGAGCTCGATGCGGGGCTTGATCCCAGGACGCTGGGATCATGACCTGAGCCGAAGGCAGACACTTAATGACTGAGCCACCCAGGCGCCCCCAGAAATTTGAATTTCTTATTCTACTGAATGAAGTCCATTCTTTTTTTTTTTTATAAAGATTTTATTTATCCATTTGAGAGAGAGAGCATGAGAGCACGGAGGGTCAGAGGGAGAAGCAGACTACCTGCTGAGCAGGGAGCCTGATGCGGACTCAATCCTAGGACTCCCAGATCATGACCTGAGCTGAAGGCAGTCGCCCAACCAACTGAGCCACCCAGGCACCCTGAAGTCCATTCTTTATAGATCACTGATCTCCCCTTTAATCACAGGCCGATTGCTATGACAAGTCATCCAGGAATTTCTTTTGTTTGGAGGCCTGGGTTCTACAATTCCTTTTATCCCATAAGTCATCTGCTATCTTAAATTACATGGGAGATAACTCACTGAATCTATTCTGTCTTCATACTTGACAGCTTTGCTGGGCATACAATTCTAGGCCCCAAACAACTTTCAGAACTTTGGAGCTATTTTTTCATTCATTCGACAATTTGCTATGTATGGAGTATCTTACAGACACTGGGAATGTAGCCAATAAAATAAATTTCTGCCCTGGTGGAGCTTATGTTCTAGTTAGGGAAGGCCAACAATAAAAAAAAAAAAATTAGAAGTAAATTATATAATTTATTAGAAGGTACTGAGTCCTCTAGAAAAACGAAGCTGGAAACTCCTATCCATTGGATGTTGGGCCATCTGGATTGATTCTTCTTTATATTTTGAGTTTGTATTACAGCCTTTTGCCTTTGGTGTGTGTTCTGGGGGCCTTTCCTATCTTAAGGTGTTTAACACATTTTAAATGCCAAGGGCTTTTATTTTGTGTACCTTTTCCATAGGATATTTTTCTTACTGTTTGGATTTAAAAAAAAATATTAGAGAGAGAAGGAGCAGGGGGGAGGAGCAGAGGTAGAGGAAGAAGCAGACTACCCACTGAGCAGGGAGCCCGACACGGGGCTTGATCCCAGGACCCTGAGACTGTGACCTGAACCGAAGGCAGACGCTCAACAGACTGAGCCACCCAGGTGCCCCAGATTTTTTTTTTTTTTTAAGTAGGCTCCATGCCCAGCATGGAGCCCAACACAGGATTTGAACTCATAACCCTGAGATCAAGACCTGAACTGAGATCAAGAGATGCTTAACCGACTGAGCCCCCAGGTGCCCGATATAATTTTTAATTGAGATACATCATATAGAAGAGCACAGAAAACTGTATAGAGATTAAGGATGAAACTGTTCCACCTTGGGCCTTTCCATTTCAAATTAACAGAAGGTAGAATGTGATAGACGCACCTTGCACTGGTGTTCTCTTCAGTGACAATGAGTTTAGGTGCTGAGGTGAGGTGGCACCACTGAGTGACCTAATATAGAAGACATTGCCATGCAGGTTCTACCTCTGGGTACTGGTGGCTGTTTCCAGAGAGAACATGGAGATGGGGAGTAGTGTATGGAAAGCAGCCATCCTGAGGTGGAAAGCATGGAGCCCAGTGTGCCCAATGAAGACTCTTAAATCCATCTTGAAGACAAGGAAAGCCTCTGACCTCTTAGGCAAGGGAAATGACCAGTTAGGGATTTTAAAAACAGGAGAGTGGCAGGATGGATGCGAGGAAGCTGGAATCCAGGTGAGGCCTGAACAGAGGCAGGTGTTTAGACAGAGGTGGGGTGTTAGGCAAGAGTCTGAAATCAGGTCTCCGGTTTGGGTGATATGTCAATCATTCTCTGAATTACAGAAAAAGAAGGAAGGAGTTCTTTGCTCTTTCTTTTCTAGCATTGAGAAATTCAATCCTGGACATTTTGGGTTTAGGGAGCTTGTGAGAGATAACAATGCCTAGCAGGTTGGGAGTAATTAATATGGATTTGCTTTCAGGAGCATTTGGAGCAGATTTCAGTCATTAACAAAGTAAATAATATGAGCAAAGTTGCTCAGGATGAGAAGAGAAGCAATCTTGCAACAGAACACTGATTTTTTTTTGTTTTGTTTTGTTTTGTTTTTTTAAAGATTTTATTTATTTATTTGACAGAGAGAGACACAGTGAGAGAGGGAACACAAGCAGGGGGAGTGGGAGAGGGAGAAGCAGGCTTCCCGCAGAGCAGGGAGCCCGATGCGGGGCTCGATCCCAGGATCCTGGGATCATGACCTGAGCCGAAGGCAGACGCTTAACGACTGAGCCACCCAGGCGCCCCTTTTTTGTTTTGTTTTTAACAACTTTATTTAGGTATAACTTATATACAATGAACTGCTCCCAGTTAAAGTATGTAGTTCAAAGAGTTGCTTTTTTTTTTAAGATTTTATTTGTGTGTGTGTGTGTGTGAGAGAGAGAGAGCACACACAAGTGGGGAGGAGGGGCAAGGGGAGAAGCAGACTCCCCACAGCGGGGAGCCTGACGCAGGACTCAATCCCAGGACCCTGGGATCATGATCTGAGCCCAAGGCAGACACTTAACTGACTGAGCCATTCAGGGGCCCCCAGTTCAATGAGTTTTGACAGATGTGTACACCTATGAAACCACCACCACCATACAGAACATTTCTATCCCCCCAATGGTTTCCTTAGGAGGCAAGTACTGGTCAGCTTTGTCCCACTGCAGGTTGGTTTGTTCCTAGAATTTTGTCTAGTTTCATTTGTTTCTGGCTTCTTTCACTTAGCATAATCCATTTGAGATTCACCATGTAGCTGCATATATCAGTAATTCTTTTTTATTGCGGAGTGGTATACCACATTTCGTTTATCCTTTCACCAGATGATGGCGATTTGGGTTGTTTCCCATTTTGGGCTCTTATGATTAAAGCTCTGTGAACATCCATTTACATGTCTGTGTGGATATGTTTTCATCTCTTTTGGATAAATTACTAGGAATGGAATATCTGAGTAATATGGTAGGTGTATGTTCAACTTTTTAAGAAACTGCCAGTATTGCAAAGAGGTTATGTTCCCACTAGTAAGAGGTCCGATTGCTCCAAATCCTTATAACTCTTGGTATTCTTAATATAAATTTTAGTCATTCTAGTAGGTGTGTAATGGTGTCTTGTGACTTTAATTTGCTTTTCTGTGATGACTAATGATGTCCCTGCACTTATTGTTCATTTCTAAAGGGTGGGAGATACCGAAGAAAATTATGTATTTGAAGCCATGAAAGGAGTAGGTGTGGTCAATGGTGGCAAATGCTTTAGAAATCAAATTTGATTATGGCTGAAAAGTAGTTACTGGATATGGCAATTTACTAAACGTCCATGCTGTGCCAAGCACATCACTTTTGCTCTCAAGTTGTTTGGTCTGTTGGATTGGGGGTAGATTATGCTTTGAATTTAGAAGCGTATGGTTAAGAGACAAGTTGAAGGTGGGCAGAGTCAAAGGAGATGTTCTGCTTTTGAGATGTGGGTAGAGTTAGAGTGTAATCCCGAGGAGGCAGTAAAGAATGGGACCCACACCCCAGTGGAGAGATTACCTTTGACCAGGAGAACCCAAGGCTCACCCGGACTGGGTTCCAGAAAGGAAAATGGGGAAGAGCTGCGGGGGGAGACAGGCATTCTCCCGTATTTGAGAGCTGCAGGAGGAGTGGACTTAATCTTTACAAATACCATCTGAATCCTGTGTAAGGCAGGTGTTACAATTTTCCATGCGAGAAGTTTGTTCAGAGAAATCGTCATTTGGTGTCACGTAGTATGCGAGGCTATCCCTCAGCGGCGCAGCCCGGAAGTCCCCTAAGCTCCCACCTTAGGGTCCAATCCCCGGCGCGACTTTCGGGACTACACGCCCCAGGATGCTTCGGGGCCAGGGCAGGAAGCGGCCTCCCGGGATCGGCTCTCCATTGGAGGTGGCTGCTGTTGTGACGCGCCGACCGGAAGGCCCGCCTCCGCCCTGGGCCTCCCCGGGTCGAAGCCCTCCCGGAGCTGCACAATGCGCGCGGACCAGGCCACGTCTTGGTACCGGCGGATGTCTGTGGTCTACGCGGTGGGCGCCTGGACCACGCTGGGCTCCATGTTTTATTTAGGCCGGAAAAAACGCAAGCCACTAGGTACGACCCTCCGGCAGCCTTCGGTGGGGCGTCCTGACGGGGTCATAAAAGCGGCTTCGCTGTGCCGCAAATACCGGGTTTATTCTGCAAAACCATTGTTGAGAGCAATTCGCTATAATGGAATCTGCCTGGAACTACCTTTTCAATCTTCCCACGTACTTCTTGTGTATTTGAAGAATCTGTACAAGATTCCAGAGGGAAGGTCAGAGACCCCGGACGGTGATTTATTTAAAGAGATGATGCCTCGGTTACATGAGCCCCCGTCGCAGTTGGCGAGCAGTTTCAGCACTTCCGCCAGCCGAGCGGTATTAAAATCTTCCCAATTACTGGGCGGAAAAGGAAATCCCCGAGCCTTCAGAAATGTGCTGGAAATCCGTAGACACCTGTCCGATTCTAGTTGCCTGGGGCTGAAGGGGCGGAGTTGATGGGGCGGGACTTGCTAAAGGCGGAAAATATCCTAAAACTGCGGTTGCACAGATCTGAATATACTAAAAGCCATTCGGTGGTACATTTCAAACGAGTTGA